TTTTGATTTGAATTACTGTGAGAATAAAGCGAGACAAAGAAGTCAATAATATAATATTTAGGAGACTCTATACCCTTCATTGTTTAAGTAAACGCAATACATGTTCAGTAAACACAGCCCTGCACTCCTATAGCTACAGTATGTACTGTGTAAGAAGTATGCCAGGGTATTGGCATGCATTAGCACCCCTGATGACATTCCTTGTTGTATTCATAAAGAAAGGAGAGGATGTTTAGATGCTGTACTGTATGTTATCACTTGTTCTATCTGCTGATGTATACAGCAGAATATACGACCCTGGGGAGAGCTGACAGCAGACAGAATATATCTTGCAAGGACATCCAGCATAATTTAACCATGCACGTGATACCGAAACATAAAAGGTTGCTTCAGGGAGCAAATGTTGAATATGGATTCAGACTGACGATATGGGTAGTTTCAGTCCTTTAGGGTAAAGTGTGACTGAAAACACCTTTTTCTTACACTTACTTAGAGGAAAAACACTCTTTTGCCAAGAATTAGATGAAACACATCAAAAACTGTGTGAGACAGGTGACATCATATGGAGCTACAGTTGCCCAGTTACTGCCGTGGTTATAATGTCCCGCCTCTTCCGCTAACCAAAACAAACGGTTAACGTTACAATGAAAGAGTAAAGATCCCTCGAGTCAGTCCAGTTTACAGCAGAATCGTTTCTTGGCTCGGTGTGATGCAAACACTTTGCAGTTATAGAAACATTTATAGACTTATGTTAGTCTTTCTTATGTTTCCTTTTGCAGTTCCTCTGCTCACAGCGCTGCAGGAGCCGTATTTATCAAAGCTGTCAATCATACCGTTATCCCCCTTTGTTAGCATCAAATATCTAATTCAAATAAAACATATTAGATGAGTGAACCCTAGGAAAATAATCAGTATTATAAGAACTAACTATAAGACAGAAAAATCTGTCCACTGTCGCATGTTTACGTGGAGCGCTGAGCTTATACTGCAGCCATCAGGGGAAGCTCCAAATGTTTTTGCCCTTTTTTTCAGGAGCTGTCAGGTTGTTCATGTTTTTATACAAACTAGTAGACACATTTATGTCTGCACAGTAAATATGTAACTATAGTCACAGCAACTTAGTTTAGCCTAATTTACAGTTGGATGATGGCAAAAAATGTTAGCCTAGATCTGTCCATCACTAACAACATTTAGAATCATTTAAAACACTAAATCTGATTTGTTTATACAAAAAAGTAGTAATTACAGTTGGCTGCTTTGCAATGAGTCATGTACAGAACACTTCGTCAGCGGATACTCTGTAAAGTTACTACTCCCGAGTCCCCGACAAGAAATATTACAACATTAAAAACTCAATTAATCAGCAAGTTTCTGGATTAATCCCACAAGTTATTATTTTGTTACTTTTGGAAAGAGTCAGGCTTGCTGTTTCCCCCTCGTTTTAGTTTCTTGTGCTTAGCTAAACTTTGAGCTAAACAGCTGGCGGTAGCTCCACATATACAACATACTATTTTACAAAAAGGGAACACGTCCAGAGAACAATCCCCCGGTTGATGCCAGTTTGAAGCTGACTTTCTCAGACATTGTGGTTAAAAGAAGACTTCCTTCTGCACACTTGCATGTCTAGCCCTCAGTGTTTTCAAATATTTATCAGGGGCCAGATTTTCAAAGCAGCATCCTCCAAACACTGTTTCACTGGTTTCTTGATTTGACAGAAGATCTCAGCAGACCATTCCAAACATTGAAACTGATCAAAAACATTTGGCTGTCTGAAGCTTTCATCGGATAAATGTAGGCATTGCCTGGGGGAAAAGGAAGTCAAGGTTCTTAAGAAGACTTGGCTGACTATGTTTGACAGACCTCAGACAGATTACAGGATCTTCTGCAGAGTTATTGACTATCTTGTGTGAGTGTCTGCGATCTGTTAATGAGAGGGCATCAAAGCAGGACAGCATCCTGTGGGCAGCCCAGGGCAGGACCGGTGGGCACACGGCGGCAGCGAGGTGGGTGTCCTCGATGCAGGCACCACATCGTCTGCCTCAACAGAAACACACACTCAAACACACCACCACTCAAACCCTCCCTGGGCACAAAAGGCCACAGAGTAATTGAAGTAGTGTCAGAACTCAGGGGATGGTGAGACGGGAGGATGGGAGGGACACACCCACACACACACACACACACACACACACACACACACACACACACACACACACACACACACACACACACACACACACAAGCAGGAGCTATTCTACACCACATGTACAATATTTAACCAATAAAAATGTGAAACTTTAAGACAACGATGAAGGTGTACTCTAACAATTTTTACTTTATTCCATTTCAGGAGTCAGTAAGAATGTTACGAAAGAGCATGGCTGGTGTTTTTCACTACAAATCTTTCACTCAAGGAGTTTTCAACACATGAATTCACAATATAACTGTGCAATAGTTAAATTTTTTTAATCTTTGATGATCTATACTAAGTGATGGCTGTCGCAGTAAGAGCTCATTAACTAAAATTCAATACATTGTTGCAGGCTTTAGACACTACAGTATGTCACTGCACTGTAGCATTAGTGTCTTCAGTAAATCTCCTGATTGAATCAAACATCCAATTTGATTATTTATGCAAACAGATAAACAAAAGAAAAATGTGAAGGCGTGCACGATATGTTATAACATTTATTACAAATCCTTTGTGATCCGAAGTTTTAGGTTCAGCAATCACAACATTCATGAAGAGCTGTGTGGCTTCATGAGAGCAATACAATGATGTGAGGGAAAATCTGCTTATTTTCCATAAGCATGGAGTCATGTTTTCAAAAATATATGTTCAAGTAAAAGTCTGCTTTTAATGTTAAGTTGTCTCTTATAGGTGCTGTAGGTCATGGACAAGGAGTTTGTAATTACTGTGGGATGAACAGTTTATATAACGACACGTATTTCAAAGACGTAAATAATTTAGCAGTTATTTTTTCACTGAGTGTTTTTTCCAAAGGGAGCAGAGTTTTGATTGATATTTCATAAATACAATTTTAACTGAAAGGTTAGAGCTGGTTAAACCAATCACAAAGTAATGACATAATCAGATGTTTGTAGAGTTATGGTGGTATTATTTTATTCAGTGTCATAGTAAGTGTTGTCAATCTTGCAAACAAAAAGATGAAGTCAGCAGTAATTAAAAGTAAGAAAAAACAACAGGTTGGTTAGACTAAACGACATGTAACATATCCCCGACTTAATTCTTAATGTTTAGTACGGGATACGGGAATCTCTGGCAGAGGTCAGGGTCACATCTAGTAAACTGTATTGTGTTTCAAATAGTCACACCACAAACTGGTTTCTTGGAGAGCCTGTGGTATGGCTGTATTTGTATGTTGTGTGGGATTGGCTCATGAGATTCAAGAGCTTGTGCAAAAATACAGATCTTTGCTGTCATCTGCTGGTCGTGACCTACTGCAACTTTTCAACTTCACCATAAGTGGAGTAATGTTTTCTATAATTTACAAATTATGTAAAATATGAGCTCAGCAGGACACAGACTTTATGAATGTATGTGTGTGTGTGTGTGTGTGTGTGTTGTATGCAGGGTGAAGGCACATCTAGACATGTTGCCATTTAGTCTCCTGGTATATATATTTTCTCTTACAAAAGGAAAAGAAACACTAAGCAGTAGTATGCACTGTTTCTGCTTTAAAGCCTGTAGGAACATTTAGGACATGAAGGTGAACATGCATCATGGTGTACTTTTATGTTTTTATATTTTCTCACCTTTGTTATTTTATCTGGCATGCTGTTTTTTTGCAGATCTTGTGCACTATGGGTAATGTGCAATATACAGTATGTTGTGTTATTTTGCATTGGCATGTGCCTTTCTGTTAATGTTTGGACGTGTTTTTTTTCTTTATTGATTCAAGTGGAAGCAGCTGAATGTTTGGCAGCACTTTGAGTCCAAGACAGAATTTCCCAAGGGAATTCTTGAGATTTCAGGTCTGTCTGCAGTAACTGAGGCTATTTGAAGACAAACTCACACCAACATAGTATTTATACTCTGAGATTACAGACTGTCTTTAGCTTCATTTTCTTGACTTAAAGTTAAAGTATTTTTTTGTAAATCTCTATGTAAACTCTATTTACCATTCTTATGTATGTTTTATTGTCAATACATAAGAACTGCTTGTATTCACATCCAGATGACAAAGAGCAGGAGAGTGGGCTTCTAGCTTCTATTTTGTCCATAAACGTCTGACTAAAACACCTTCCTTTTTAACATCTCTTGCTGCTTCATGCCTGTCGGGCTGTGTGCATGACTCGTCTGGTCTGAGCTTGTCTGCAGAAAAAGGACACATTTTTCTAGTATCTGATCCTCAGCTGCTCTGTGCACAAAGCCAAACTAACACAGAAACTCAAATGCCTGTGCAGTGAAAAGTGAGATGCAATCTCTGCCAAATGGAAAACTGAACCCCTGTCCTTTGTTCAGGCACTGTAAGCTTAGCGGTGAGCAACAGAGCCAAACCTTAGTTTCTCAAACTAAGACTCCAACCTACTCTATTCAAAACTGAAAAAAAACAACAACTGGTGGACTACTGCAGTGTAATGCAACTTAAATGACTCATGTTACTTTGCCTGTGTTATTGGCTGCAGGTTTAATGGTTTAATATATTCAGGTATGAATGGCACAATAAAGGATTACAGCTTCTGAATGCTGCAGGGTGTACAAAGAAAATAGCTTAAATGGTAATTAAACAGCACAGAGGCCTGTAAACATTGTGACTACAGACTCCACTGTCCCTGAACCCTCATCCAATAAATAAGAGCATTTCTTAATCATGACAGATGCGTCGTTTCATTGTGTAAAAGTTATTCCAGTAAGCGTCGATATGAAGCTAGATATGAGATTTTCTCAGAACACAGTGTTATGGTATACAGAACAACACTGTAACTATAATTATTATAATTTAAAAAGGTCCGAAAAGGAATGAAAACAGAAGAAATTCTTGGTTAAAAAATCTTTTTATTTTTATTTTAGAAAACCTCTTAACACAGTAAAATATTGAAGACAAGAAAATGTACATCTTATAGTAATTACTGTAATCTGTCATTTCAATTACTTTTTTTTTTAGTATTCTCTGTATTCAATTCAATAATCTGTATTTGTCCCAAGAGGGTAATTCATAGGCACATAGAGCAGTAGCATGAAGAGCAGTGCAAGGTAGACTAAATAATATAAACTAAATATAAAACTGTTTTCCAGGTAATCAGACTCTGTAGAGGGTGATGAGAGCAGTAAGACTCAACCATTAGTCATACGGATGTTCAGGCTGGATACCAAGAGGCTGAAAGGAATTTTGGAATAAATGGAGCATTAAACTTTAAAGATCATCTCAGAATCCTGTTTCTAGTGGAGATAACTTTGGGGTTTACTGCTCGGTCATTAAGCTGTATCAGATATTTGACACGAGCTAAATAACGTTCTTCCTATAAATAGTGCCTGAGTGAATTTTATAACTGTCTCCATGTCTGCACTCGTCAATGTAGTCACTGAGTCTTTTATCTAACTGTTGATGTTGTTGTATAAAGGGTGTGGCTCCATGTTAATGACCATAAACATTAAACATTGTCTAATAACTCCATTATAGTGAAACAGAAATCAAATGCTTTCATAATAAAACTATCAATAAAAAAGTGGAATCATTAAAAGAATCTTGATCAAATGATTGAAGTCAAACTGAAGCACAGAAAGAAAAAGAAGGTCAAATATGGATGAGAAATGTACCGTCTCTTTGATTTGATTTGGTAAATTGAAAACTGTTCATGGATTAAAGTTTGTTTTTATTTGTGTGTGTATTTTTGTATATTATGTCTGTTTCCTTCAGCCAGTCAGTCGAGCTGCTTCTCAACTTTGTGTTTCCAACAGACGAGATCAGAGTGACCTTAACCCCTGATACCAATCAGTTTATCCTGAAGTATATTCTAAACTTTATATTTGTATATGTCAAAACATCACTTTTTTATACTCAGATTAATATAACATTAATGAGTTGATATGTTTATATTGAGGATTGTAGGATTGAATATACACTTTAGACGATGTTTAGAGAAGTAATGAGTAGGTTTTGTATGTTTAAGTATAAAAATAAGAGACTGACAGGATGAGTGATGATTAATAAAGAAGTGGGATTAAATACATTCAGACTTCTTTCCACTCCTTTTCAGATTTGTAAATTAAAGAAACAAGTATTTGAAAGCTTCTTTTGTATAATATCTTTCATTGTTTGTACATATTTTTTGTTTTGTTTTCTTCTCTTTTTTACATGTCCGAAAATAAAAACTTCAATTTAATTCTATCCAAGTTGAAGTGGATGTTTGGACCCAAGTTTAAAATCATTCCTTCCGAGCGTCCACAAGAATGAGACCTTCAAACCAAAGAGCAACTCGAACACATAAAATGAATGTTATTGTTTTACAAATAAATTGTTAGTAGTAGTTACAGTAGTTACAAAGAACGAAGGGAATTCCAAAATCAAACAAAACTTTATCTAAACTCATTTGCACCATTCTTACTTAACGTCTGAGTGTTGTTTAGTCCAGACTCCAGGGCAGAGTGAAGCTCTCATCCTGCAGCTCTTTGTGAATCACTGACCTAAATCTGGCCAGCTGTTCTGAGCTGAAATGGTTTTTCCAGTCTCCTACAACACCTAACACACAAACACACAAACACACAAACACATCATGACACTCACATGCGATCAACAAATTCTCAACAATATAATGTTTGGACAACTTCAATTCTACAAATCAGATCCTATTGACCATGAACGTCTATGGATAGATATCATATTTATACTTTTAAGTGTAAAGGTAGTTCTCCCTCTCTCTATGTGTTTAGATGTAAGTTTACCAAATGTTATAAGCAAGGAGCTGTACTGACGGGAAAAATTAATAGGGAGGCTAAAAACAGAATAACCCCCCCCCCTTTTTATTCACCTGATTGTTCCCTTTTTATGTTTTCTGTAAAGCATATTAATTAACTTTCCAAAGACAAAAAAATGTATTCTCAATCAGATACTACTAACTAATAACTACAAAAAAACCAAGGTGGTTGTACTGAACTGGTCAGCATCAGGAAGGTTGATATTTCAATTCAAAGCAGGGTGATAAAAGCTGAGGACAATGGGGCCATACCTTTTCTTAGGAATTGAGATTTGTCGCTGTCCAGGTACACCTTAGGAACCAGGGAGAAGTTGGACATGCTGTTGGACTTCATGGTCTTAAAGGAACAGTGATGTGATATCTTCTGGATGGTTTCCTCACTCAGATCCCGACCCAGGAAATCTGACATCCTCTTGAGAGCTGCCGGAAGGTCCTTCAGGAAGCAAACATGTTCTCTCAATAGAGTGAAGCAAAAAGGTGTCTGTCTTCATCTTATATGATGCTCTCTCTCTGAAGAACTGAAGAACATGTTGCTCATGATACAACCTTTGATTTTTAGCTGACTGTGACCTTTCATTTAAGGTGCAACAACAGGAATGAGAGACAGGATATGGTCAATCAGCCAGACATGCCTTTACCATTGATCATGAACTAAATAAAAGTGTATGTGAATCATGATGACATCAGGTAAGTTTGTCTATCTAAGTGTGCAGCTCTAATATGAGAAGAGGTGCTATGTTGTTGTTTTTTAGATTTTCTTCAACAATAAGAGTCCTCATGTTGTCTTTTTATACTTCAACCGCATTATGATTCATTGGGGTCTGAACTGTGATGTGTGCCATGGCTCTTGAATAATTCTAGTACATAGTATATAAGCATATCAGAGTTCCTCATAAGACCACGTTTGTTTTAATAGGCATTGACATGAACTTAAAGTAAGAGTCCATAAAGAGCTAATGACAGAGGGGGCACTGGACCAGGATAACTATGACTGTGTGACAGCAGCTCAGAAAAGGACATAACCATGGGCGTTTCAATCAGCCAATAGGAAGGCTAGGATCTGAAGCAGCTTCAGAATAGGAGGCAATAAGCTCAACAAACTAGACCATCTATTAGAGTGTTTTACCTGAACCATCTCTTCATACGTGATGAACATTATTCTGTCTCCCAGTTCGGAGTGTTTCCAGCTCTTCAGATGGTCGGTCCATTTTCCAAAGAACACTGCAGAAAACAATATTATTAGACAATATTAAACTGGATGAATTCAACCACTTCTCTACGTTGGAAATGGCAACAACTCAAATACATTGAGGGAGGTCGATCCTGGTTAAAATTTGAATTTACATAATTTGGTGAATATTGAGATCAAGACACAATAACTTGTCCTTAAAGCTTGAGCTGAACTAAACTAACAAACAGCCTTTCTGAAAGCGCTCCTCCAAATGATTCTGGTCGACGGCAAACTAGATGTCATTAAGTGGAGAGCAGGACGATATATAACAATATGAAATATTTTTACATTTGTTGTTCTCTCCATATTGGAATTTACAATAAGCTAGTTTTATAGCTCACTCCTACAAGCAGACAATTTCGAGATCTGGAGAGAGATGAGAAGCTGCTGATTTTACTGTACTGCCATTCTGTCAGACTGGTTTCTTCCTATGATGTCTGGAAGGTGATTCCTGTTTGATATTTGATCTTTGTAGAAAAGATGTGCGCTGGATTTAACAAAAGAACAGAGTAAGAGCATCGCTGAGCATCTAAACGTATCATTTTATCTTGATTATCTACACATCAAAAATCATTAAAATCCAAAATAGAAAATATAAATTGATAAATGGCCAGCCCTACAATTGTTGTAGTCCACCAAAATGATGATCTATTCTAACTGCTTCTATATTTCATTTAGGTGGGATGAGACTTCTGACCTCTTCCCTCGAGGAATGTGTTCATGAACTCATCGAATGTTCCTGGATCTGAAAGGAATCCAGCCATTTGATGAAAGTAAAACGAAGACACCAAGACGTCTTTGGGGTTCCTCATAACATAGATCACCTACAGCAAAAAGACAGAAGAGACACATTTGATAAGTCTGCTTGAAATGAAATAAAGATCCAAGGAGCTCCTCTGATAAACTGGGTTTTTTAAGACTCCGCCCAGCTACCTTGGCTTTGGAGGTGTGGAATGACGGGGGCATGAGGTGGTAGGGCAAATGTGAGACCATCGCCCGTGGAGAAGCCATCTTATCTACAACCGCTTCTAATCTTTTCTCCTCCAGCCAGGGGACCCTGTCCCAGTTAGGAATGGTTTGTATCGGAGTCAGATCTCCTCCATTGAGCAACAGAGGGAGGACTTCCTGCATCCAGACTGTCCCTGAAGAGAGGAGTAGAGCAGCTGTTAATACTGAATAAGACAGCAGTAATAATTACTAGTATTGCACAACGACAAGCTACCAACACAGAGATACAAAGTCTGACTCGACAGTTGTCTTTTCAGAAAAAACAAAAACAGCTGAAACAATTAATACCCTCCTCCACATGAGCCCAGTGTGTTTCCCCAAAATCATTTACATTTTGGCAACATGGCATAAAGAAAGGTGAGCCGAATTTGCAAAAAGCAGTTCCTGTTTGCAATGTAGCCGTCTGTAGGGACAACTTTCACCGGATTACTATGATATTGAATGATCCTTTTAAATATACTGATTCTCAGGACAGTTCTGGAGTTATGATGATGAGAAGTTTGGTTGTTGAGCAGATTCACATGTTTTATTTGAGACAAAATGACTTCATAGTGTGACGACCCTGCTGGTTCCTTGTGTCCACTTTTTCTGTTTCAGGTGCCAGTGGGTGTGGTCACCTGGGCCCGGTGTTCTCAACCCATAAGAGCTGGCCTCACTTCTGTGATGATCAGGTGCTATTACAGTTGACCACAAGGTGGTGATAGTGGTTAATCATAAAAGCTATGAGACAGAGTTAAGTGGGATAGCCGAGGTAGAAGGTGTATGCTAACTACATGTTACCGGCAATAAACAACAGATTCGTAAACTGACAAAGGACTAAGATTCTTTTGCAAACGACGAACAAAACAACTTCCTCCTTGGGGGGAGATATCGAGAAGGAGATTGGGGAGAGAGGATATCCCCGACGCTCTGTACCTGTTGGTTTAACGTGCTGTTGTGCATATAAACGTGAATTGTTGAGCGTACTCCTTGTCTCCTCCAGTTTTGTCATGGGTTTGTGAGCCGGTCGTGACAATAGTAAATTATCAACATGTAGCCGGTATTTGAGGCAAAATATCTATGGGGTTGCCTCAGTAGGCGGACTAGTTTATTTTTATTGTTTTTCGTCTTGTTTGTTCGTCACTTCCCCAGCGCAGCATCAGGGCGGACCATCGGGGAGGGTCAAGGTCATTTTGGTTGCGAGCTGACGGAGGATCCGATTTGAGTGTGTAAACGACACAAGTTTGTTGCATGCCAATAGTGTAAATATAGTTGAAGTTGCAGTGATATTGCATGCTGATAAATAGTGTGATTTAAGTTGCAGTGATATTGCATGCTGATAAATAGTGTGCTTTAAGTTGCAGTGATATTGCATGCTGATAAATAGTGTGATTTAAGTTGCAGTGATATTGCATGCTCATACATAGTGTGATTTAAGTTGCAGTGATATTGCATGCTGATAAATAGTGTGCTTTAAGTTGCAGTGATATTGCATGCTGATAAATAGTGTGATTATAGTTGAAGTTGCAGTGATATTGCATGCTCATACATAGTGTGATTTAAGTTGCAGTGATATTGCATGCTGATAAATAGTGTGATTATAGTTGCAGTGATATTGCATGCTGATAAATAGTGTGCTTTAAGTTGCAGTGATATTGCATGCTCATACATAGTGTGATTTAAGTTGAAGTTGCAGTGATATTGTGTGACAAGGAGTCTTTTTACTCCCTTACTGTAGAAGTGTGACACTGAATTCCTCATCAGTAAAGCATCAAAATACATGCCCAAGCCCTATTTCCGCCCATAAGACATTCAAGTCATGCGCCGATTATCTTATGGTGACTCATGAATTTTATGTTAGTTAATTTAATAAACCTTGGCACCTTTTCTCTTTAAATCTGCTTCTGTGTTTTATTTTTGACTGGTCATTTATTTGACCCCTGTTAGGGGACCTTGCAAAGTCTGAGTACCCCCGCAGGGTGGGTGTTACAAACAGTTCTGTGCCCCGTCAAAACAATAAGCAATAAGTAAACTTTCTGCAGCCTCCTTTACAATGAGCTGTCAGACACTCGTTTCTGCAACTTTGCTGGCACAAAACAACACCGACAGACAGACAGACAGCGCACCAGAACAGAAACGCAGGAACCAAATTAAAACTAAAATGAGCACAGTTTTTTTAATCACTACTGTACCAGCTACTTGTAAGTGAACCAAACCCAAACGGTGATGAACACTGACCTGACTTTGGATACACGACAGCCACGACGTCATCGTCTTTAAACGTAAACTCCTGCGCAAACTTTAAACTTTCCAAGGAGTGAGTCTCTTTGGGGAGCAGAAGTCCATGGTAGAGCAGATACATCTCATCGGAAGACATGATGTTTCGAGGATTTCTAAATCGAAGTGCAACTCCGCCGGCAAACACGAAAGGAGGTGAAGTAGGTCTCACTTCAGCCGCGTAGGAAATCTGCAACTTCACAACATGAAAGACCAAACCAGATAGTGAAAATGAGACTTGGGCATTCAAATATAATATCTCACTTTTTAGTATCATTTGATGTTCAGAATAATTTTTGATTTTTTTTTTTTTTCCAAAACCGACCACAATGAAGCCTACTTTGAGTAGCCTACAAGTTGGCTAGTTTCCCACAAAAGTAGAACGACTTGAATGCAGCACATTCCTTTCTCCTGAGCTGTACCGAAGATTAAATAAAAGAATCAGAAGTTTTTGGATAGGAGCAAAAAATATATTTAAAAGAAAGTTCAGAAAATGATCCGTGTCTTCAAATAAACACTAAAGACTAACATTACAGTATCAAGATAACAGGAAGGTTCAGAGTCTTTCTCAGTGGGGGCACTGACACCTGCTGAGCATATACCTGCATGTATTAGGATACTTTAAGCACTTTGTTTAAAAGAGCTGAAAACAAGAGAAAGTCTGTTACTTTTATTTGGGCTGGATTCACTTTGACATTGCTTCTTGTCGATTATGTGATTGAAGCAGTTTTGTAAAATGAGAATCGATTGTAAAAATACCAGGACATGAATACGTCCTTGAACTAAACACTGATGTAATTTGCTTGCCCCATTGTTTCACTTGACACTTAATCCGTCTTCTCCTCTCGTCCTCAATGAATTTATCTACTTTCTTTATCTGCAAATCATTCTGCTGAACATTTTAGTGCCTCTCTGTGACAACCCATCAGTTAATGGCAAAAACTAACAGGAGTTAAGTGAGGAGGGGAAATGACTTTAAGTAGATGCAAAGAAAAATAAATAAAAACCAAGAGGTTGGATAGAAATTGTTACAGAGCATCATTAATCATTTACACCTTGTGTGGCACATTGGAAATGTAGCATTGTGGTGAATGTTAGGGACAGGAATCATGAATGAACAGTTACATTTATCACAAGAAAGCAGCTTCAAAAAGGTTGAAATCTAAGAAAACATTTGATCATCAAGACATTTGAACTAAATATGTTAGATTTAATATAACATCAGAAAGAGGACTTGTACCTGCTCTTTTGAAAAGGCTCTCCAGATAACATGTTATGAATTGACATTATACAAATAAAGATTGATTGACAACAGTTAGACACCACAAGGCCTGAACAGTACAAGCTCTGGGACTGAGATTAGACAAAAACATATTTTTTAATCAAACATCAAAATCACAGATGCTTATGACTCCACATTTTGTAGTTTTAATGCAGATAGGATCTCAGTATTATCATAATGAGGGCTGCACTCAGGAATTGTTTATATTTCTTTAATAATAGTAAAAAATCTTGCTACAGTCACTTTTGAACTACTTATTATTAACTACCTGCTTGATATAAATAAATGATACATTAGTGGAGACAGTTTACTATAAAGGAAGTGTCACTGTTATTTATCTCTAATAAATGTTCTTTTTAATCTAATCACCTTGGCTGGCTCATTCAACACATAGAAAATAATTATTCATGAAGTCTCAGTTCATTTGTGGTCCTACTGATATAAAATCCACTCTTAAAAAAACATCACAGCTTAGACAGGCTGATCATACTGACGCTTGGGTGTCACAGCTTTTCCGAGTACAGACACAACAAACCATGACAAACTGGTTGGTTTAGGAGGTTGGTGGCTTGTTGGTTAGACTGGTATGTTTGGCAGGTCCACATACCAAACATAAACAAGCATCAGTCTTTGGGAAGTTGTATAAAGACTCAAAAGACCTCAGGAGTCAGTTTATGATTTTATGACAAACCCGGGTTCAGTCTGGACTGAAGAGATGTATGCAGGATTATTTCAGGGTGCTGAGTGTTACTTAGTTGCTGTGGACCAGAGTGACAAAGAGAAACAGTGAGCAGAGAGAGATGGCACCGGTCAGCACAGCTTTCACCAGCAGCACGGTCCAGCTGCCCAGCAGGAAGACGTGGACGAACAACCTGCAGACAAAACATGGAGGAATACAATGTTAATGACGAAGTTACAGGACAAAACTGAACTGTTCACACATCAGTGACAGATACAGTGTGAGTGTATTCAAAGATATATCTCCCAGCTTGAATTGTCACGGATGAAAACTGTCCATTTCATCAAATGGTAAGCTTAAAGTATCATCATACCTTTACTAAGTAAACAGTTAATGTGTTTTATTACACATTAAAGGCTTTATATGTGATTTTTTCATCCAGCAGATGTCGCCCTTGAGCACCAGCATGAAACCAAAACAACTTGCGCTGCATTGTTGTCAGCATGCTAATGCTAGCGATCTTTATTATGCTCGTATCTTCACACTGCATATAAATTTACCTGAAATGAGCGTGATCTAGAAACACAGTTAAGCAGTGAGTACAGTATGTTATTTTTCTTTTCTCTAGTCCCTCAATTAAACAACTTTTATACTCGAGGGGAGGAGTCAGCTGCCGTCCTGACGATGTAAACAAAGTGAAGATAGGACTCTGAAAACTCTGAAAACATCACAGACAGTGGGACTCGGGTGTTACACCCATTGTAGACAGTCATGACTCACAGAGTTATTTTCAGAGGATATACTTGATTTATATTACATTAAAGTGTGAAAAATCACATAGAAAGACTTTAAAGAAGCAAAAAGGAGAAAATTAGAACTTAAGTACATCAAGTGTTAGATATATTTTATTATTTAGTACACTGGGAGATTATCTCTTACCTACCACTGGATGTACTTTACTCTAAATGTTATGTAAATTACTCTTTGCTTGCTTCTAAATAAGGTCAGCTGGTTTATAATATGAACTCAGTATTTGGTAATGCAGGACATAGATTTTTCCCCCCGCACATTATGGAACAATATCCTGATGACACAGGAACATAACAATAATTACTTCATAATAATGAACTAAATGACTAAACAATGAAAATAAAAAAGAGCCATGAAATGTATTTACTTTTCAAACTTTATAACAGGTTTATTTTTGTCCTTTTTGCGCTCAATAATAAAGCTCCCAAAAGAATAGCTTCATATTTGAAGCTTCTTCTTGTGCTTATCTAACACATGGTGCTGTTTGTGTTATGACAGCCATACAAGTCTTACAATATTAGACCCCGCCCAATTCCACGTGCTGCAGCCAGGGCTTATTGATTATTTTCACTCATGTAACTAGTGCCCCCCTGTGGTTTACTAAGTGACGTGCAGCCACATTGTCGGTCAACCCTGGATGAAGTGACTTGTCCCTAAATTAGAAGTAAACTACGAGATCCATGATGTGGTTAGCTGAGCTTAGCAGGAAAAAGGCAATATATGCAGTTCCACTAAAAAATGTATTTATCTTGTAAAGCGCTGATAAGCAGGAAGACGTCTAGTAATCTTATAGCATATGTTGGGGACTGGAGAGTTAATAAAAGCAGGATAGCAGAGCCCTGGACCTAAATGCAGATCTAGAACCAAAGAGGCTAATCACCTGCCTCTAACACCTCTGGTATGCCTCTGTTTTTAAGACAGCAAACCTAAACTTTGGAAAATTATGGTCCCGTTTATAGAAAGACTGACAGTAATACAGGGTATGCAGGTTCACAAACAAATGGTTTACTTCAAGTCTTTTCTAAACTCTTTGAGTTAAATGTACAAATATGGGTGTGGTTTCTGTTTTTTTTAACATTCATCTCATGGTATCACAAGTAGAATCTTAAAGAGGACATATTATCCACCTTTTCAAACAGTCCCCTGTGGTCTAAATGAAACATCTGTGCTGTGCTTTGGTCAAAATAAAACATGAATCAAGCACCAGAGGAGGTTTGTGACCCTGTATAAACCAGCTCTCTCAGAACGCTCCGTTTTGGTGTGTGTGTCTCTTTAAATGCAATGAGCCCCCCTGAGTTTTCGTAGACATCACTCCTTCGCTAGCTAGAATAAAAATGGCGGACATGCGCAAAAGTTTTCTAGGCTGGGGGTGGAGTCCATGGGTGGAGATACCAGGGGAGGGGAGGGGATTTTTTTTTTACCAGAATCCCACTGTGACATCACAAGGAGAGCACATTTGAAACAGAGCATTTTTCTCTGCATTGTGAGACTTATGCAGACCACAAACAAAGGACTGGGTGGATTTATTTCACATTGTGTGGGTCGGTAGACACTCAGGTTACACAAATAAATGTTCAAAAACACTGTCAAAGTGTCCCCTTTAATGGGTATTTATTTATTTTTTGGACATGAAGTAAGTGAGCAGATTTAAGCATTTTCATTGTTGTTATTGTTGTAGGTACCAGATCTGCTTGGGGTCCTTTGCCTGCGTTTGTATAATGATGTAGTACATTGTGATTGGCTGGACATCAAGAAGTCAGGGAGAAGAATTATGAAAGAGGAAGAACTCAAACACACAGATTGTTAACTGCCTTAAATGTAACACGGTTGATGAGAGTCCCTGTCTGAACATATTTACATGCCAAATTTAAATGTTTGTAATGACGCCACCTACAGTTAACAGACAGTAAGCCTTGTTTAACATCAAATGAGGACGCAGGACCCTGAGCAGATGTGACCACCTGAGCTGATCTGGTACCTACACCGTCCCTCATCTTACCCTATACCTACGTAATGAAACAAGAACTATTCTCCTTCAACAAAACCTACCAAGGTGAACTTCTCAAAGTTCAGTTACTGGCATGTTTTATCATCTTTATTTGTTTGACTGCGAACAATCAGGATACCTGTATTAGCATGTCTATGTTAATGTTAAGCATATGTGTGTGTGTCTGTGTAAAAGCATGTCACACTCACTCCATTAAGAAGGACTTGTAGACACACAGAGCCAGCAGCACAGTGACAGGAAGTCTGAAGCTCTTGGGAAGGTCGTATCGGGTGAACATCCACACCACGGCTGCCATGGCGATATAATGGATCTACAAAGATAGAAATACTCACTTTAATTCATGGCTTTACACACTCTGGTCTCATACTACAAAGCACTCACATTACAAACACAATGGCGATAACACAGAAGTACAGAAAGACAGGAGGACGATATTTACACATATCGGAACTGCTGAGAAATGATCGTCTTATGGTTCTAATTTCAGTAGATGGCAGAAGATATGAAATGTGGGGTTAGACGCAGTAAAGCAGTGAAACAGCAGAAGAGGACAGATACTCACCAAACTAATGTTAGAGTCAAAGCTCATCTGAATGTATTTCCAGTCAAACTCAATCCCTCTGGCTCCCACCCACAGAGGAAGACATCTGAAGAAACACAGCAGGACACAAACTGTGAGCTTTAGTGAATCAGGGATTTGTTGGGGCGCACTCGCTCTAGGTAATCTGTACCGTGCCCAAGCACACTTGAGTCCCAAAGTCCAGTTCATTTTAACAATTGTGCCTCAGCCCGGTACTGAGCAACTTTACCACGTGTGAGTGCGCCCTTAAACTAAACATAATGTTTCACCTGCTGGAACAGTGTCGCTGCTTACCTGGACATCACAAGTTCTGCTGTTGCCCAGCCCATAGCAGCCACCATGATCTTGTACTCTCCTTTACCAGCATTACGAGACATCACAAGATGGAGGCCCAACAAGTCTGCCAGGTCCACCGTTGATTTCATAAATTCCTGGACAACAAAGACACACTTCTGTGTCACACTCACCTCCTCAGCTTAAGTGGGATTTGATTTGCGTTTATAACAGTTAACAAAATCTGAAAGTGTGGGGAAATACTGATCTTCTACATTCATATCCTGTTGTAGCTAAAATGAAGAGTCATCACTACTCACCCCTACAAAATCATAAACACCCGCTCCTACTTCCCATGTGGGGAAAAAGGTAGCCAGGAACAGCATCTGAAACACAGAAAAGAAAACCCTGTTTATTAAACCTGCATTGAAGTGGTGGCAAAAAAAAAAAAGTTCACTTTTAATGTCGCCCAGAGAAAACAATCCACACGACCTATCCCCCAAGATGAGTTACATCTCTGAAGGTCAGACGGAGTTAAAAGACTTGACTTCACATGAACAAACATTGACATTTTGAATAAGTTTTAGGAAGCATTGAGCTTCAAAATGATGACAGATTTTTTTTAACCAGCAGAAACCTCTCTCACCTTACAGAGTTGAACAAACAAGTAGGTTGCTCCAGCCTGGACACATCTCCAGAAGGCATTGTACTCTGAACTAAAGATTGAACACACAAACACATTAAAGATAGGACTTTCAAATAAGGAAGCACAGAGCACAACATGTTTTTAATAAAAGAAACCGGAGGTATGAGGGGTCATTCTTTACGTCTTGAATTTAATAACAGCAACAGAAACAAATATTTTGTAGTAAAGCAAAAGTGTGAGCACATTAAAGTGCACACTTCACACTTCTAAGAGGATTATGCAGACCCCCTCTCAAACCTCTGCCATTACTAAGCAGATTATTGACAGACTTCTTAATCTCTCAACATATGTTAGTACAGAAGAGGAGTACAAAAGAAAACATGTCTGTATAAACAGTAGTATAAAACTCATATTTTATTCCAACTACTCTTCACTAGTGATAGATTGTCATACACCGTCAACCACACATACTGGAGATTTATGATTCAGACAGACACTTACAGGCCACTGCACTTGTAGGTTATAAAGTAAGGGAAATAGGCCAGAGCAAAGCAGTTCCCGAAGTGAAACAGCGTCATGATGTCAGGTCACAGAGAATGATTCCTGCGGGGAAACAGATAAATAAGAACTTTACAGACCACACTGACACAACATGCCACACTAATTCATATTATAATGGCCCATTTTGACACAAGGCTGAAGGTTCACAAAACACTACTATGCAAAGCTCTTAAAAAATGTAGACAACCACACCAAACTCCCTAAATCAGCATCTCTACATGCAACGGGAACCGTTCTATATCAGTGTCTGTTGAATTTCAACAGAAACACCTTATTCTACGAGGAAGGCTAGGCGATATGACCTCAAATCAATATCAATCACTGTTAATTGAATGTTTGACCTGGATCACGATTAATAAACTATTATTTCGTTGTTGTTTTTTGCCCTCATAGTTCACCGACGTGGTCTCTACTGAAAATATGCTCAACTATTAAAGCTGGGATATTTTTTTCTAATGGAAGAGTTCATATCTGAAGAACTATTTTGTGGTTATTTATTGAATATTTAGAACTGAAATCAAAGCATCGCTTGAAATGAAAAAGACACCTTTTACTTTTAAAGAAGAAATGAACTTCTCTAAAACAGTAAAAAAAAAAGGTTTTTCTACAGTGTTTACATTTGACTTCTTTTTGTTCAGTGTCGTCTTCCCTAAAGACAAAATGTGTCCAAACGACGGACACTGCTTCCATGTCGAGGTGACGTTATTCTGCCCTGAACATAATCAAAATAATTGACATGGGCAAGATTACAGGTTCTGAATGTTGGTTTCGATTCATTTCCCAGCCGTGTTAAGGAGGCACTGATTTTGTGATCATCTGACAAGCCTTCAAACAAAGTTGAACTGTTTGACTTTTTGCCCCAAGACCAAAGATTAGTATGAAAGACTGGAGGAGACACATGAATGCTGTAATGAAAACACTGAATTAATCCCCCAAGTAATGGTATCTGAACTCTTCCTAAGGTGAAACATTTGTATTCTGTTGTTCAAAAATGAATATTAACCTGATTATGTTGCATTATACACACTCTGTTTTTTGTTGGTTATCTCTAACAGTTGTCATTTTCTGTCTGGGAAAGTTGGGCACAAATCTATAACTAGTTAGAAACAGAGATCACATCTTTTTGCAGTGGTGTCCAAATGTCTCACTGGCTGATGTAAAACCATGTTTCATTCTGTCAGAATAAAAGCACAAAGACTATGAACTTTAATTTAACAATTAAATAAAACAGACAAAAGCAGCAAAACATCGCCCTGAATGAATTAATATATTGTCTAAATTATTGCTGGGTGAATCTATATATTGTCTGATAATAAGTCATTTTGTGTTCATGTTGCAGCACTTATCTGTAGACAAGTTTAGGTTAATATATTTTACATGTGTTTATCTACCAGATAACATTGTGCTTTTTGGTAGTTAACAGTTTAATGAGGCATGGTGGAGCTACATCGGTATGATAAGCTGAATCACAACCATTTACAGAAGCAATAGTTATGCTGTCCCCATCATGTCAAATGTTTAATTGTTTTGAAAGCATATCGTCGTTAGAGGCTTTTTCAACAACAAAATGACTAAAGTGTGCATGTTACTATGTGTGTACATCAGCTAGCTAGAAATGCTACAACCTGTCACTCGGTGTGGACTCGCTTTTCACACAGGAAAGCTTTGATGTTATTTTCTCTCAATCATAAAACTAGATTTACTTAATTTAGTTTCTTATCGACATGAAAGAAAGTAAAACATTTCTGAGTAAGCACTTACTGTTTTTAAGAAGATCTGAGAAAAAGCAGACGGTCGTGCTACTCTCTGGTTGAATGACGACCGGAAGTTGTCTTGGCGTAACTCACAAATGCCTCCGACGGATTCACTGGTAGGAACTGAATTACAATTACAAGTCCTAGTAGGGTGTGTCAAGACTGTTTTATTTTTAGGTCTGGAATAAGCATGCTGGTATACTTTTATCTTTGTTTCTTTTTTTAACTTTATTTAAAACATGGTGGTACATACAATTTGTAGATAAGGCCTATTATAGGACCTGTAAGATCCGCGGTATTGGTAGTGTGGTATTGCCTTCTTCAATTCTGTCCTCTGTGGTGCATTCAGGGAGCTACAAGATCAGAAAGTAGACTTTGTCAGAAATAAAACCCCAAATTAGCTTACGCCAAAAAACCTGAAAAAATGATGTTAATTTTAAATTGTCTTAATCAGAATTATATCACAATAAGATACAGTGACCTATCTTTAATTCATAACAAAAGGGATGCCATTACTGGTGAGACGTTTTAAACTTCAGTCATTCAATTTCCATACCATGTCAAAGGAAATAAATTAAAGTCTGGCTGCCTATTGGTAAGAAATGTATACTGCGCAGAACTGTATTCCTTTTAAATGCTTAATGCTTGTTTAATTTTCTCAGACTCAAAAAACAAATAATGCACGTTCTATAATCAGTGCATTTACAGAACTAGTACTGCTGGTTAGTTTATCTACAGAGAATGAAACAAAGTTCATTAGTATTTACAGAGGTTTTCACTTTTTAAGAATCAACATTTCCGTAGTAGTAAATTCAGTCAATTTTAGCTAACTTGGAACTGAAATGTCTCAGTCACCTGAAGAAAATCTTAGTCATCATCATGTGTAAAGGACACACAGACCCTGTTTGTCGATTACGCACAGGAAGCAGGTAAAAATGTATTTATCACATGTATTTGGTGGCTGTAAGTCCTTCGTAAGTCATGGCTTTTCTCTTTGAAGCAAACTTTGAAAACACTCATGTTAATGTTTATCAATACATGAAGCAACACATCAATCAATCGATCAATTTTTATTTGTATAGCGTCGTTGTTCAGGCAAGCATTGTTTTATCACATAAGATCAACAGAGTAATTATATCTGATATAATGTCTTCATTTTAATTTCTACAGCACAGGTTATTCAATGATTCTAATGTTTGAACTCCACACAGAAAATAGATTTTTTTTCTCTCCATAAACATGTTTTTAATTAAAGTACACAAGTCAATGACATCTCTCTGTGTAATATTATATCTCACGCTTTTGTTACAATAAGAAAATAAGATACAGTCCTGAGCATCTAAAATGTTTCTATGTTCAACATATATAAATAACAACAAACATAATAACTACAGAATATGGAGTATAGTCAGTCTGTTAACCAAGCTGAAACTGGCCTCAACAATTAAACACAATGCTTTAAATTCAGATCTTGATGTATATCTCAAACTTCAAGTTGTTCTCTTTATTCTGGAATTTTACTTCTGACACAGATGAAGTTTCTTTTTTCAGAGCAGTCCCTGGTGATCCAGTTATTGGAGTCAAATTTGGACACTGTCCTGCAGTGTTTCCACTCAGACGGACAGCGTGGCAGCTTCGCCTCGTCCTCCACCTTCTCTCCATCGAGCCAAAACCAGCCTCCTGCCAGGAAGCGCAGACCTGTCCACACCTGAGACACACAAAGCAAACATGACTAGTTTTAGACTTGTATTCTGATGGACTCTGATGTAGTTTGATGACTTTTGAGCGTTCTCCTTTTTTTATCATTTGAATATTTGAGCATTAAACGATACATTTAAAACCTCAGTTAAATTATAAATAACTTCAGACTGCGGTCAGCTGCTCAGTTTTTCACAATAAGAGAATGACACATGTATAATCTTCACTGAAAGCTATGTTCTGTTGCTAAGGTTAAGGATGGTTAGAAAGACAGTAAAGCATGTTGTCATCTCCATCTTTTTTAATACAAATATTTAAATCTGGTTATTTTCATGTAGCCTGATTTCACCATCAAGCATGGAGACATTTTGAATATAATAAAAAATATATAATAATGTCAGTTAATGCCAGTCTCAAACCTCATCTGTGTCTGCATTGTAGATCCTGTCTCTGACATAGTTGTAGTCAGCCAGCTTTTTCAGAGTCAGGAGTCCGAAGGTGAACCTGCACGGCCCCCCACTGTCACATTGACTTCCCATGTCATGGCAGTGCTGCAGTGCATCCTCCCATGTCTTGTTCTCCTTCACCAGCACCAGGTTGTCTCCAAAACAGACAAAAGGAAGAGATTTGGAGCATGCTCTGCCATCTATCTGTCCTGTGTCATTATTAAGAAGTGCACAGTCTTCATCACCTGGATGACTCGGTGCCCAGATTGTTTCATCTCCTCCACTCCTGATAAAACACATAAATTGGCTTTGCAACTGCACTTGACGTCAAAATATTTTCAAGATATTGACTCAGCATGAAAATAATTACCAACAGTACAACATACCTCAGACTTATGCTCTTCCAGGCTGAGGGAACCTCGGGGTCTCTGTGTGCACCAATCCAAACTTTTTTGACAGGACGTTCCACCGACCATGTAGACAGCTGCTTTTTTGCAATGTTCAAAGGAATCAGGTCAATCTTATTCTGCCTGCAGTACAGTCTGGCCTCAGTCCACGTTGTCCCTGGTCTTATAAGTGTAAAACTCTTTTGTAAGGTGGATGCTTCAAGGCACTCAGTGGCCATGAGCAGGAAGCAGAGTGTGAGCTGAGGGCAGCTTTTGTTCCTCATGACTGTCTTCACAACAAGTCAAGGTAGGAGCTGTCACTCTGCCTTTATAGCAGCGGCTGGACTCCTGCTCACTCCCACATAGACACACCTCACCTGGTCCAGGTGACCACCTCTCCTCTACACCACAAAGTAAATATAATTTTTATGCCTTTATTGGTGGGACAGGACAGTGGATAGCATTGAAAATCAGAGAGAGAATGGGGAATAACGTGCAGGAAAGGACGACAGCCACCGTACATGGGGTGTGCAAACTCACCACTAGGCCACCAGCGCCCCACACAGAAATGTGGGTGTAGGTGTTACTTTATTTTTTTACTTTTGAACTTGAGGCTGCCCCGTATTGGCTCTTTGACCCTGGTTAAAGAAATTAAAGCAAAAGGAGATATCTTGATTAACTCATCTGTTATAACATCCAGTATGTTGGGTATAAAAGTCATGAGAGCACCAGCCAAGTATCTTTATCTCTTTAGATAATACACTCTTAGTGACAATAATTCACATAGCTTTCAGAGACAAACATATGACCTGTTTCTAAAAGGTTTTGAACTTGTCCTTGGTCCCTTAAACATGCTTGTACTGAAACTGTCCAAGACATTTTTCTCTTCAATATTTGTTCCATCTTGATGATCAGAAGTGCACCTACAACACCAGATTGTGAATTTTGCAGATCATTCATTCTCAAGCATGAAGGTGCAAGTCCTCCTTTGTTCTTTGGCAGTTGCAGAGTTTGAATTCTTAAACTTGTTTTTGATTTGAACCTTTTAAAAAAAATCTAATTTACCCCAATATTCATTTATACCATTCAATCAAAATTGTTTTATTTATTTAAATTCCAAGAAACAACATTATATTATATAAACACAATATCCAACCTTGTAGTTTCAGTTTTAAAACCAAATCTGTTAATACTATGAATCAGTGTAGGCATAATCCATTATTACTCCGTATCCAAATTTGAGAATAAACTAGAAACATTTTAAGAAAAGATATGCTGTTGTTTCTGTTCCTAGTTGACAGAATTACTGTCATTAAGGTCAATATTAAACTTTGATCACAAAGCCCTTGCATGGTTGGATAGATATATACTTTTTTAGCGTACTTCTCTGGCTTTTGGTGGTAGAGTGAAAGATATGTATATTTTAATTCTGAATATTCACCAACTTTTTAAAGGCAAAACAAACCACAAAAGGATTCTGCTGACACGTCTCTCAGTTTTTTGCTTTTAAATTTTACAAGGGACTGTTTTTTGCCCTGATGTTTTCTCTTTCTCTAGCTACAAAAACAGAATGACATATATAATGTTCACTGAATTATATTTTTCTGTTGCTAATGTTAAGGGTGGTTAGAAAGAAGGCAACAGTTTGCATGTTTTCATCTGCATCTTAATAAAAATATTTAAATCTGGTTACTTGCCTGCAGCCTGATTTCCCCATCAAGCATGGAGACATTTTGAATATATAGAAAATTTGAATCTGGCCATCTGATTCAGACAACAGACCCCTTCCCTTCACTGCACGTCACTGGATTTGTGTCCACATTATTTTTCTGTTTATGCAAACAGCCCAAAGACGAAGTTCTTCACTGAATATGTCACATATACACTCTGTGTTCAGGGCAGGAGTCTACAGTAAGTACATGAAAAGTTTGGCTTAGTTTGGATAACTAAGATTGGAGTTAAGGCCACTTACTGTTTCATGGAAAAACATACAAATGTAAGGATTCTCCACAATCCTTTTTAGTTTGGATTTTAAAACCTTTTCATCATTAAGGTCTCTCCTGTAAACTGCACAAAGTTGATGTGTATGAGATGAAGCTCCTGGAGAAGTTCATCAAGGAGAACTCCTTGAAAGGTAAAAATATTTCAAATGGGCAGTTTTTCTATTGAGTTTACAATATAATATTATAAGTCCATGAGACTTTTTTGTAGGTGTTGGCATGATGCATGTGACCCCACATCTATGTCCAGCATAATGTGGTACAGTACAGTAGCCTATTATTAAACAAAGGACTCCTTCAAACAGGTAGAATCCAAACACACTGGTTTGACTCTGAGAAAGACAGAGTTCATCTAAATGAGTCTGTTGCACCTGAAGTCATTTGCTGTAAGTGATTTGTGTGCTCTGTACTTTCTTCATCTTCTGCCTGTAACAACAACCTCCATCTGTTGAGGGGCTGAAGGGTAAGTGTTTCCTACTTATATACAAATGTTACTAACCTGGTTGTCTCCAAATCAACAAGGGGGTGCACATTTCTGACTCAAAGGTGAGACTGTTGCATGAAAGACAGAAAATATT